AACTTGCCCAACGTTTCGCCCTGCCCGGGAATCGAACACTGGTCCTCTCGCTTGCGAAGCGAGTGCTCTGACCACTGAGCTACAGGAACTCCATGTCCTGTAATTAAAACAATACAAAAGCATTGTTTTAATTACACTTTCCACTCAGAGGAAAGGAGTGTTTTGCAACAAGTGAGGAATTCATCCTTGGAATGACAACATAATCCAGTTTGCTCACCCTTGGCGAGACAACCTCCAGGTTAATTGGACAATTTTCGTAGGAATAAGGCCCACTCGAGGCCAGAGCTAAAGCCCTGTTTGAAATTCTGAGAGATCCAGAAAACTATTTCTTGAGCAAACATGCGAAGTCAAAGTCAAATACAATCACCCTTTAATATCCATTGCACGACTGAGTTTGAAAGTCAGTCTCTCCGACCATTTAAATCCTGAAATCAATTAAAGGAACATTTTGATTGAATCTCACACGCTTGTGTTTTCCGGACTATCCCTGACACACTCAAACTTGCACTTCTAAATGGAAATCAATATGTCTCTGGCATTGTGTCAGCCTGACTCAATCAGCAGCACTCTCACCTCCGAGTCAGAAGGTTATGGGTTCAAGCCCCGGGTGGGGACTTTGAGCTCATAGTCAAGGCTGACACAACAATGCAGTGCTGAGGGCTTTGTGCTGTCCTTCAGATAAGAAGTTAAACTGAGATCCACTTGATCAGACAAAGTCCCCTGACACGATTCGAAAAGAGAAGAGTTTGTCCCATTGCAAACAAAGATTCCTGATATTATATGATAATAATAATCCTTGGAATTGATACAGCGCCTTATCACGTCTTCGAGACGTCTCAAAGGATACACTGTAAAGTGAATTGACTATATTTTATGGGCAAAACGTGGCAGCCAATTGCTCACAGCAGCGTCCCCACAAACAGTCATGGATTGAAGTGAACATTTTTTTTAAAAGGAGTTATTACCCTCGGTGTATGGAGTAAGGAAACTTGCCCAACATTTCGCGCTGTCAGGAATCGAACCCAGGTCTCTTGCTTGCGAGGTGAGTGCCCTAACCACTGAGTTACAATTCGAAGCATCATTTAGTTACCCAGGTCAGGAAATTCTCTTCATTTCCTCGTGTACTTTGCTAATAATTATGTGATCAGATCACTTGCCTGTAATTCGCTTTTCCAAGCTATAAAAAATTCTGACAGCGACTTACATTGATGTTATGGCCTTCACGTGGGATAGCGCCTGAGAGAGCACTTCACAGAACATTCCCAATAACCTGTCAAGTCACAGGGAAGCCTCACACGTGAAGAATGGGTCCCTTGTGGAAAGATTCCCACCCACAAGCCTGGTTAACCCTTTACAGCACTTTACTATCACATACTGCGTGGGGGGGGACCTTTGATCTTCGTTTACTCAAACACTGCGATCACTGTTGTTTCATTTCAGGCATCTCCTCCCACCCCCACCAGCCTTTCCGTCTACTCTCCCTGCCCTCCACTCTCTTGACTCCAAGTCCCAGCTCAGATGCAAACCGTTTACTGTCCTCCGGATGTGAAAGGCGCTGTGTAAATGCAATTTGTTGTTGTTGTCCCTGGGCTAATGGAATTGCACTGCCCAGTGATCTTGTAGCAGAGCTTCCCTTCCTGTTCTGTAAATGCCCGATTCCCAGTAATCACCACTTTGAGTCAGGTCGAATAATAATAATAGAATAATAATCCTTGTTTTTGATACAGCACCTTATCAAGTCGAGATGTCTCAAAGCGCTTCACAGGATATACTGTAAAGTGAATTGACAGTATGTGTCGAACTATTCCCACCTTTATAAAGCTCTCCTCGGTGACTATTCAGTCTCCTACTAACCACATCTGCACCAGTCAGTCTTCAGCAGGTTCTAATGCAGATAGTTTGGGTTTGGACCACTCTTTTCCAGGGCAGGGAATGTGTGTTAATTTTACAGGATTACTGACCACACGTTTACCATATCAAATGCAAGGATTATTATTATTATAACCTGACTCCATCCCCCTGCGTCAGTGTCATTTACACTACCTGAACTTCACCTAAAGTCCTGTCACCTAAACTGCTGTGTGTAATTGGCTGCCGCGTTTTTCCCACAAAATATACAGTCAATTTCACTTTACATTGTATCCCGTGAAGTGCTTCGAGACATCTCAAAGGTGCTATATCAAATGCAACGATTATTATTATTATAAACGAGCACCTTTAGACACAGAAAGTCTGTGTGAATTGCTTTCTGTGATATTGAAGTACATGACGATGCCTCAGTTAATCTTTTCCTACCAAGCCTCAGTGTTGCAGCCAGTGCCTTTATATATGATCGCTTTAATGTTTCACGTTGAGGTGTTTTACCCGTCACTGACGAGGGCGAGAGTTAGTGAGAGCGGTTTCTGTAGTGAGCGTTGGCTTCTGCAAGTTTGAGGGTAGTTTATTCAACAATTCAGCTCCACGACATTTAATGAAATGGATGGGAGTGTCGAGATTGGGGCTTTAACGAGAAATCAAGTTGGACGTTTGAAAAGCAGTCAGGAGCCGAGCAAAGCCAATTCCCTTTAATCGCCAATTCATTTCTCTTCACAAATCCCTTGGTTCTCCCGAGGGAAACTGGGGCTAAAGTGCACAACAAAGGGCGGGTATGTGTGTTGGTAAATCACCAAAGTGTCAGAATGCTTTGCAAAGGAATCATTCGGTGGTGCCCGCTCACTCCTCAGCATCTCCTAACAGAGGTGACAAAGCTGGAAACTAGTTATAACATGGGATGAAAAGCCGCCATCGTTGCCTGTTTAACGTGTTAATCTAATGTCACGTTTAATAAAAACTCCAGGATTTACCTCGATCTGCAAGTCTGATCGATGCCGGGCAGAGGCGAGTAGTGCGTTGTGAGAGTGAGCTGAAACCTGTTATTAAACACTATTATTTTCACAGAAATGTTGTCACGTCACCGTTGCACAATTGTGCACAATTGGCTGCCGCGTTTCACCCGTAAAGTACGGTCAATTCGCTAAACCGTGAAGCGCTTTGAGACGTCTCAAAGACGTGTCAAGGCGGTGCATCAAACGCAAGAATTATTATTATTATTTCAGCTTATTTAAACAGCTCAGGGCCTCGTTTCACTTCCCAGTCAGAACTGGAACACTAACATTGCATCATTTGCTCCCAACGTTGTGTCTGGGGGTGTGGGGCTGGGGATGGGGCTGTGGGGCTGATGGAGTGAACGTTGTTTTTAATTTAAAATAAGCCACAGAGTGGATCTCCTCACCTCCTGCACAGCACAGGACAGGACAGCACAGCACAGGACAGCACAGGACAGGACAGCACTGCACAGGACAGCACAGCACAGCACAGCACAGGTCAGCACAGGACAGTACAGCACAGGACAGCACAGCACAGGACAGCACAGGACAGTACAGCACAGGACAGCACAGGACAGCACAGCACAGGACAGGACAGGACAGCGCAGGTCAGCACAGCACAGGACAGCACAGGACAGGACAGGGCTGAGCTGTGGGTAAAGCCACACAGACACACACACAGCTCCGTAATCGCTGCTGGTGTCAGGAAGTTGTGGTTCTCACAAGCAGCTGGAGGTGGGGAGGGCAGGACAGGCAGGGAGGGAGGGCAGGACAGGCAGGGAGGGAGGGCAGGACAGGGAGGGAGGACAGGACAGGGAGGGCAGGACAGGACAGGGAGGGCAGGACAGGGAGGGCAGGACAGGCAGGGAGGGAGGGCAGGACAGGCAGGCAGGGAGGGAGGGAGGGCAGGACAGGGAGGGAGGGAGGGAGGACAGGACAGGGAGGACAGGCAGGGAGGGCAGGACAGGACAGGCAGGGAGGGAGGGCAGGACAGGGAGGACAGGCAGGGAGGGCAGGACAGACAGGCAGGGAGGGAGGGAGGACAGGACAGGCAGGGAGGGAGGGAGGGCAGGACAGGGAGGACAGGCAGGGAGGGCAGGACAGGTAGGGAGGGAGGGACAGGGAGGGGAGGGCAGGACAGGACAGGCAGGGAGGGAGGGAGGGAGGGCAGGACAGGGAGGACAGGCAGGGAGGGCAGGACAGGACAGGACAGGCAGGGAGGGCAGGACAGGGAGGGCAGGACGGGACAGGCAGGGAGGGCAGGACAGGGAGGGCAGGGCAGGACAGGGAGGGCAGGACAGGGAGGGCAGGACAGGGAGGGGAGGGCAGGACAGGGGTCGCTCACATTGTCCAGCAGAGACCAGACAGACAGACCCCCCCCCGGGTCTCCCCTCCTCTCAGCGCAGTCTCTCATCTCATCTCCGCCGCTGCTCTCACTCTGTGGCTGTGGCTCCGCTGCTGATGGGAACTTGTCTTCATCTCCTGTCTCTGTACCTGGGCTGACCCCCCCCCCACCCCCCCCCCCCCCACACACACACCCCCACCCCCCCCCCCCCCCCCCCCACACACACCCCCCCCACACACACCCCCCCCCACACACACACCACACACACACCCACACACACACACACCCACACCCCCCCCCACACACCCCCCAAACACCCCCCCCACACACCCCACCCCCCACCACACACCCCCCACACACAACCCCCCAGCACACACCCCACACCCCCCCCCCCCCACACACACACACACACCCCACACACACACCCCCCCACCCCCACCCCACCACCCCCACACACCCCCCACCCCCCACCCCAGCCTCAGCCTCCATCCCCCCCCCCCCCCCCCAGAGCAGTCTGTGCCTCTCTCTCTCTCTCTCACTCACTCCCTCCTGAGAGGTTTGGGGCAGTTTTGATCGCCTCTCTGTGCGGTGCGGTGCGGGTGTTGGTGTTGGAGGCGGTGTTGGTGGCGGTGTTGGTGGAGGCGGTGGTCGGGGGTAGCGGTGGTGGCGGTGGCGGTGGGGGGGGGTCTCGGCTTTAATCCTTCACTATTCCTCCCCACGCGGCCGAGGACCTGACACTGGCTGCGTCCCGGATCAGTCGGAGGAAGCGGGTGGTCGGGGCGGCCATCGGAGTGGCGATGGTCCTACTGCTCCTGATCGCCATTCCGCTGCTGGTGCAGAGCGCCAAAGCCTCCGCTCATTACGAGATGCTCGGGAGCTGTCGGATGGTGTGTGAGCCCTACAGCCCACAGCCCGGGGCCACGGCAGCCGAGGCCATCCAGGACCTGACCCTCATGTCCCCACCGCCCTTCCTCCACGGGGGCCGAGGGGAACAGGGGCGCCGGGGCCGAGTGGGACCCCGGGGACCCCCCGGAGAGCCCGGCGCCCCGGGGCCGAGGGGTCCCCCCGGGGAGAGAGGGGACGCGGGGAGACACGGCGTGTTGGGAGCCTCGGGCACCGGTACCTTCAGTACCTCCTTCCACAGCCCCAGAATCGCCTTCTACGCGGGTCTCAGGAAACCACACGAAGGGTATGAGATCCTGAAGTTTGACGATGTGGTCACCAACATCGGGAACCACTACGAAGCCTCAACCGGAAAGTTCACCTGTACCGTCCCCGGGATCTACTTCTTCACTTACCATGTGCTGATGAGAGGGGGCGACGGGGTCAGTATGTGGGCAGATCTGTGCAAGAACGGTCAGGTAAGTCACCCCCTCCCCCCCCCCCCCACCCCCCCAACTCCACCCCCACCCCCCCCAACTCTGCCCCACCCCACCCACCCCCTCCCCAACTCTGCCCCCAACTCAACCCCTTCCTTCTCCCAGAAAAAGTTTCTCAGACTTTACTCCGCGGTCAACAGAGGGACATAACTTCATCTCCTGACACACAGAGAGGGGGAGAGAGAGAGAGACAGAGAGAGAGAGACACAGAGAGGGGGAGAGAGAGAGAGACAGAGAGAGAGACACACAGAGAGGGGGAGAGAGAGAGAGACAGAGAGAGAGACACACAGAGAGGGGGAGAGAGAGAGAGACAGAGAGAGAGACACAGAGAGGGGGAGAGAGAGAGAGACAGAGAGAGAGACACACAGAGAGGGGGAGAGAGAGAGAGACAGAGAGAGAGACACACAGAGAGGGGGAGAGAGAGAGAGAGAGAGAGAGAGACACAGAGAGGGGGAGAGAGAGAGAATACAGAGAGGGGGAGAGAGAGAGACAGAGAGAGAGACACAGAGAGGGGGAGAGAGAGAGGGAAAGGGAGACAGAGAGAGAGAGAAAGACTGACACACAGAGAGGGGGAGAGAGAGAGACAGAGAGAAAGACAGAGAGCGAGAGAGAGAGACACACACAGAGGGGGAGAGAGAGACAGACAGAGAGACAGACAGAGAGGGGGAGAGAGAGACGGATAGACTGACACAGAGAGAGAGAGACTGACACAAAGAGAGAGAGACAGACAGACGCAGACACAGAGAGAGAAAGGCGGAGATAGACGGAGAGAGAGAGATATACACAAACACGGAGTGAGAGAAACAGAGAGAGAGAGAGAGAGAGAGACGGCGAGAAAGAGAATGTGGTACAGTTCACATTTCAGTTGAGAATTGGAGAGTTGTGTGACTGACAGTTTGTGGGAATAGTGCGGATGGAATGTTAAATTCGATGAGATTTAAGTTAAAAGAAAGGATTTTTGTCGTCAGCGAAACAGTGCACAAACACATCCAACAGCAGCGAAACCAGTCCCACCTTCACCTGTTACTGAACACCAGTGTATAAAGTGGGACTCAACACAGGAATGTCACAGCATCTTAGCCTTGAGATATTGTCTTATCATTTCGCCCACAAAATAGACAGTCAATTCACTTTAAGGTGTGGATGTAAAGGAGAGGCAATTAAGGGGGACTTTAACGGGGGGGAAATGGGGGAATATCATCTTCATAGAGTTAAAAAAAAATCTCGTTTTTAATACCTAACGGAGAGAGAGAGTTATCACCAAAATACGTTTAAAATGTCTGAAAAAATATTAGTGATAAAAAGTGTGACATCTGCCCCGACTCACACACCGTGTGGAGTGGGCAACATTTAAAAAAAAACAATAATAATAATTTGGTCACTTCAGCCCACGGCTGTTTGTGGGGTCGCTGCTGTGCGTAATTTGCTGCCGCGTTTCGCCCATAAAATATACAGTCAATTCACTTTACAGTGTATTCTGTGAAGCGCTTTGAGATGTGGCAAAGACGTGATCGGGTGCTGTGCTGTGTCAGATCAGTTATATTGGCTTCGATTGCCGTGATTCACACACAAATCATTAGTCCAGCACTTGACGTCTGCTTTAGGGGGGGAGGGGAGGGGGGAAAGGGGTCGTGTGTGTGTGTCAGGAGATGCGTCAGGAGATGATTGTGTCACCACCTCAGGGTGCTGCTCACAACATGGGATGTGTTAGTTAGTGCTCGAGAGCGCGAGCCGTGGTTTAGGTCAGTCGGGCCTGAGTGTCACTTGTACTGGACACACACACACACACACACACAGGAGTGGACAGGGGCAGAGAGAAGCCATTGTTGTCTGGGACTGAATAGAGCTGGTGGGCGTATTGGTGAAGAGACTACGAGAGGCATCCGATAAACTGAAGTCAGATAGAAAATTGTAACAAGATAATATTCGTAATATTTGGGGGGGAAATTCAGAAGAAATCTACGCCAATACTAGAGACGGTTGACGCAAGAAATGTTGATTCATTCAAACACAGATTAGATAGTTTTCTTTTAGGAAATAACATAGGATGTAGTTCATAGGGAGTTTGGGACAGATGTGCAGGCGACCGCCAGGAAGGATGGACCTTGGTCTTTTTACACCTAGCATTTCTTACGTTCTTATAATTTTGTATTATAAGACGTTTCACCCACAAAATACACAGTCAATTCACTTGATATCTGTGAAGCGCTTTGAGGCATCTCAACAACGTGATAAGGTGCCATATCAAATGCAAGGGTTATTATTATTGTTGTTATTATATATCTGCTGTATACGTTCAGACTCGGATCAAGAAGTGATATTAACTTAGACTTACTGCTGCTCCTAAATGTACGTATGTGTGAGTGTGTGAGATGGTGTGTGAGTGAGATGGTGTGTGTGAGATGGTGTGTGTGTGTGAGATTGTGTGTGTGTGTGTGTGAGATTGTGTATGTGTGTGTGTGAGATAGTGTGTGTGTGTGTGTGAGATGGTGTGTGTGAGATGGTGTGTGTGTGTGAGATTGTGTGTGTGTGTGTGAGATTGTGTGTGTGTGTGTGTGTGTGAGATAGTGTGTGTGTGTGTGAGATGGTGTGTGTGAGATGGTGTGTGTGTGTGAGATTGTGTGTGATAGTGTGTGTGTGTGTGTGTGTGAGATGATGTGTGTATGTATGTAATCACTCATGAGCAAAAGATTGTAATCCTGACCCACTGTGTCCTGTGGGTTTAGTCAGTCCTGCAGTGGGGACAGTTTGCAATGGGTTCCCACATACTCCGGGTTCCTGACGGGCTTTTTAGTAAGCTCTGACATGATAACGGGTGCAGGTAATTTTTACTATCAAACACTAAATGCAGCAACTGTAAGATGTTTGTCTGGATAATACGCCGTCTAAATCTGAACTACTTATTATTCAGCTATTTATGATGGAAAAAAGCCAGCCTCCCCGACCTGCTGTACTCATTACTTCTCAGCTGGAGTCCAGTGAGAGAGGCAGGATCCAGACTGTTAAGGAGCCGTCTCGATGGAGCACATTTTTTACCTGCCTTCTGCAGCTGGGTTTCCCTCAGCCCAGAGCCCTTACACAACGTAAGGCAGTAAGGAGTCCTGTAGCTCAGTGGATAGACCACTCGCCTCGCAAGCCAGAGGACCCGGGTTTGATTCCCGGGCAGGGTGGAAGTTTCCTTACTCCACACACACGCCTCTGTTTACTGAGCAGTCAGTAGGAACCCGGTTGTTAATCGATTGGCGGATCGCTTTTCTGGGGGTAATAATCCCTTCAAAATAATAATAAATTAAAAAATAATAATAATAATAAATTGATCACTTCAATCCACGACTGTCTGTGAAACGCTGCTGTGCGCAATTGGCTGTCAAGTTTCACCCACAAATATACAGTCAATTCACTTTATAGTATATTCAGTGAAGCGCTTTGAGACGTCTCAAAGACTTGATAAGGCGCTGTGTCAAATGCAAGGATTACTATTATTATTATAAGCCCATGTTATTCCGTCTCCCTTACACTTCATTTAATTGCTTCCCCAAGTAGCGAGCTAATTCTTGTTCTGCGCCATCACCTCCGTGGGTAAGTCATTCCTCCTATTACTAACTGGGGCCAAGGATTCTTCCCCCTCTGCTCCTGTTAACAACAACTTGCATTTATATATTATCCTTCCCCCGGGAGGAATGAATCTGGATTTAGGTGAGATGGGTGTGAACATTCAGGGAGAGAACAAGCATTCCATTCCACACACAGTTACCTGTTTCCGTGTCGGTGGAATGTATAGGTGGAACTCTCCGTGTTATTTGGACCCTCAGTGATGGGTTTCCACGTGTGTCTGACACACGGCTGATCTAATAAATTCCGTATTATGGGCTTCATTTTATCTTAAAAAGGCAGGTGTCTTGAGAGAGGAAAAAGGACTGTGCAAATGGCATGAAGTTATTTTTATAACGATTTATATTATTTATTCAGTAATGCCGTGTTCAACTCAAACTGCAAGACACAAACCTTAAACAGATTCAGCTTTACATCATTGAGTTAATAATAATCCTCGCATTTGGTACAGCGCCTTCTCAAGTCACCAACACGCCACAAAATGCTTCATATAATTTACTGCAAGATATAGTGACTGTGTATTTTGTAGAAAAACTCACAGCAGGTGTTCCACAAATGGCTGTGAAGTGTGAGCAGTTTTATCTGGGGAATTGTTGGCCAGGACACCGGGTTGGAGAGAGAAACACCCTTCTCTAGATGTAGTTATCTACCTAAAGACTCGTATTCCTGGGGATTTCTTTCCCTGATTTCTGACAAAAATATAAGCCGCTGAATTAAATCTATTAACCATTGTATTTCCAGTTATCGCCTGGTCCCCCTTTCCCTGCACTTTGCTGTGTGGACTGAGCCCCAGACAGCGGGGCTATTGGATGGCACAAGAAGGCTTTTTTTTACAAAATATATATATTTATTTGTAAACAAAAATATTTACGCTTATCTCAAAACAGAAACAAATCCTGTGACAGAACGAAGAGACGCAACATGTTGTTTTCCCTTTACAGGACAGGAGCGACGTCTCAAAGACGTGATAAGGCGCTATATCAAATGCAAGGATTAGTATTATTATTATAAAGAGTTGTCTCTGCGCACTCCACTTGGTGGAGGGGTTACAGGACGCAGTTAGAAATGGGGTCTTGTACCCCCCCCCCCCCCTTATGGGGAGTGCAGACAGGCTAACAATGCACAGGATATGCATACTTTTTTTATGAGTCTCCCTTTAAGCAGCGGAGAAGCACCACTATGTGCAGCACAAACATGCAACCGCTCACAACCCGACAATGACACAATTAGTGAACAGGAGCAAACACAGAGGTAACATTGATTGAAGGCCCGTCTGCGTGTTTGGGCTCTCCATAAGGGATTCCTGACATTGGTTGGGAAAGGGCAGATTTTATATAGAGATCAAAGTGTGGCCTGGAATTGATTCCCCA